GGCTGTGTAGTAACAATTTTAATGGCAGACCTTTCCATCCTACTCTGCCTGCTCACTGTGTAGTAGGAGTTTGAGGGTAAGCACATTCCAGAAGACTGTACTCTGTACTGAAGGGTGATGCTGACATTCAAGTTAACCTGTGGTTAGGCTCTGCATGATAGGACAGTAACATTGTGCAGCTGCACAGCCTATTGCACTGTGTGGATCTAACTGATGGAAGCCCATCAAGCTTGAACTTTAACTTGTACAAGTACAAACCAAGCTGTCACAAATGTCACAAGTATGTCACAAATGTGAATAGCGTAGTGTACAGACATAACCTGGGGCATTACTTCACCCTTCCTGCTCAAAGCAGGTACCACCATGTGATCAGACCACAGTGGTAAGAATTTTATCCAGTCTAGTCTTGAAGAAATACTCAAGGATGCAAAACCTTTCTAGGCAACATGTTCCGTTGTCTGACTGTCCCTGTGGTGAAATAACTTTTTCCTTCTATCTAGCTGGAACTTCCAATTCAGTTTCTCACCATTGTTTGTCAGCCTCTCATCATGCATGTCCATGAATCATTCAATTTTCTGAGTTTACCTCCTTGTAGGTAAGCTGGAAATCTGCCATTAGGTTGCACCAAACCCTTTACTTTTCTAGGTTAAAACGAGCCCAGTTTCCACAGTTTCCTCATCTGGTTTCTGTGTTCCAACCATCTGACCATCTTGGTGGGCTTTGGCTGAACTTATTCAAGCTTATAAATATTTTTCCAATACTAGGGAAGGCCAAAACTGAATGCACCATTCCAGATGTGTTTGAATGAGTGTGGAGTAAAGGTGAATAAGTGCTTTCCTCAGCCCTCTGGCTGTGCTTGTAGTAGTAGAGCTCAGTATGCTGGTAGCAACCACCTCCACTACCATGAGCTGAGTACACAGCAAGAAAAACACAGTGTCTGCTTCCTACAGCTAACTGGCTTCTGGAACATTGGGTTCTCTACTGGATCACAAAGGTTAATCAGCCCACCTCCTATGATTTAAAGTAAAATTTAAATTTTCTTTTTTTGTTCTTCATACAGTATGTCAATATATTGCAGTGTTTGTCTTTTCCTTGAAAGATAACATTTATTGTCAATATTTTTATTTTTTTTTTTTACTTTTATGCTGTGACTAAGAGCTATATGCACTCTAGGGCACATATTAATGATCCACTAATATATTGTTCAGATGTTTAAAATTACTCAGTCTAATGTTTTGTGCCTTTCTGTACACCTGAGTTAATACATACCCTGGAGTGCTTTCCTGCTTGGTTACAGCACTCTCTACTACAAAAAACTGGGGCTTGATTGCATCCATATATTAATCACAGTGGATGTTTACATAGTATGACTTCACTTAATTGCATAATGATGAAGAAGCCGGATGTACATAACTGTCTGGCTGAATGCCTGACATAGGGAAAAAAGAAGGCTTTCCACAAACATTTTTACATTTCCACAGAGGGCTAAAGAAAGCACAGAAATGCTGGAGATATTTTTTCAGATTGTTCAATCTGTCTTTCCCCACAATATATGGGCATGCTTTGCTGGATCATATATACATGTCTCAGAGAGTGGTTTTTGCTAATCTCCTAAATAGCAAATAATTTCTGTCTTTAATGAATTACATTAAAAGGTGAAGTGCTTAGTGGCAGAAAGTCATGTAAAAGCATGATTAATCACCCTGGGGTTTTTGACTCCAGTAGGCAGCTCCTTTAAGCTACTTCAGAAGGCTTCCTCCTTCCATTTAAGCTTTCTTTTGTTCTCCTCCTGCAGGACTTCTCAATGTTTGCTTTTGGGCGGTTCTGGTTTTGTTGTTTGTTTTGTTTTTGTTTTGTTTTGGTTTTTTTTATAAATGGATGTATTTATTTATCATTTCTGTCAGGGATATGTCCTCTTGTTACTCAGGTAAAAAAAATGGGGCTTAGTGCTTCTGAATAAATTACCCAGATGAATTACCATCACTCAGTCAAGAAACACTTTACCACTATACTTCAGAGTCTTGCTTCTGCATATCTCCATTTTCGATGTTCTTATCAGGGTAAGGAAGTATGAACATTTATGCATAACAGGGCTGTGAGATGCACAACATATTGTGAAAGGTGGAAAAATATTTTTAAGTACGAAACTTCAGAAATGGTTACATTTGGTGGACCAGACTCTTGGAAGATTAAAAAAGAACTGCTCTGCCAGTGTAGTATTTTTGAGATCCAGGTGGTGATTTCTGTGCTGACTAATACAAATTCTTGACAGGAAACACGACTAGAGAAATCTCATTTTTCCTTTAATATTATTGCATCTCCTGGGTGAGACTATTTGAGAAAGAGATAAAACAAAGTTTAAAATGAGAAAAGGCCAGACTCATGCAGAGAAAGATCTGACCAGTTCTGGTGCAAGAGCTGGTTTTAACTCAAATCCCACATAGCTGATGAGCAATGTTTAGGAAACCAGTATATACACAAATTGTTTTACTGCTCTATGTAGTACTGTAAAATAAGGGTTCCAAAAAAACTCCAGTGAAGCATAGAATAATACTAAGGATAAGAAAAACCTGCAACTTGTATATAAAGTAGGAGTGCTGTACAGCTGCTTGGTGACTGTACTTACATCTTTGAATTACCTAGAGCATCCCAGTACCATGTTCTACAAAAACATCAAATGAGTAATTTATTCATAGTTATTGTCCTACACTTGCATGTGGCTCCTTTCTCCTGGAGTGGGAGAACACAGCAGACTACCCAGACAGAAGGGAAGCAGTACAGAACTTTGTTCTTAGGAATTCAGGGGGAAGATGCTATTGGGGTCTGAACACAGGAATGGGCGGAAGAAAACTCGACATCTGCTGACAGCTCTGCCCCTGTGGGTGTGGGTGAAATTTTAAAGGCAGGTGAATAATGTATGACTTGTTTCTGAATGAAAGCTGAGGTTTTCCAAGCTCTGCAACAAATGAACCTTCCATTGTGCACGCTTCCTGTCCAAGATTCGCTTTGCTTTGAGGAAATCTTGTGGCAAATTTCTATTCACAGACTGGATAAAGCATAGCTTTTAAATTAGATTACTGATGTAAACACTTATTATTACAAATTTAAAATGTGTTACAAAAAATTATGGGAAAGGTGAAATTTCTATTTTGCAGTGTAGTTTATTATACAGTATATAACACAGAAGATAAATCTCTTGATATTCAAATATATTTATTTTAAAAAATACAAATCTCAGAGGATTTTTTTTTTTGTAAAATGTTCTGATAATCTGGGAAGATGCAGAGGAAGGAGTAATAAACATTTTTTTACAATCATTACTAAAATTCTCTACCAATTTCCTTCTTTTCTTCCTTTTTAAAAATTGGATTTACCATTGTTGCTGCATACTTTCTAGTTTTAGGTGTGAAAGAAATAGCTCTTTTTCCATAGTTGCTTAAAAGTTTCTCCTGTTAACGTCAGAATATATATGACTCCAAGAAATGCTCTTTGGGTGTTGGTTACTAGATTACTATTCATATTCCATTTTTTCTAATGGGTTTGCCAGCTCTGTCTTAATTTTACTGCACTGGTCAGTTCTATTTAATGCCAGAGTGTCCTCTGCTGTACATAGCAAAAATAGCAGTATGTTACAGATTCTTTCATCCATGGTGATCAAAATGCAGTGAATAAGAAACTCTGTACAACTTATTTAATTTCTCTGTTAAAAGAATTTTTCAAAAACCTTTCTAGTTCCCCCCAGATCACTCATTATATGGATGATTTTGTAAATACAATTCACATTAAAACCTCCTAACACTCCCACCTCACCCTCACCAAAATTTTATGTTTAAAGGGAAGATTTCACTGGGAACAAATATTAGGAAAATTGCCCAAAAACAATCCACTGGGACACCTCTGAAAGTCAGATATGAAATAGGGATATACCTTTATGAAAATTTAAAAAATAAAAGCTGTAATGAGTGGCCAATACCCCAGAGGGCTGTGCAGCCCTTCAGAAGGACCTTGGCAGGAGAGATGGGCAGAGAGGAACTGCCTGAAATTCAACAACGGCAAATGCAGGATCCTGCACCTGGGGAGGAGTAACCCCCTGCACCAGGACAGGCTGGGGGCTGAGCTGCTGGACAGCAGCTCTGTGGAGAAGGACCTGGGGGGTCTGTCAGACAACAAGCTGTCCATGATCCAGCAGTGCTCTTGTAGCCAAGAGGCCACTGGGATCTTGGGGTGCATTAGGAAGAGCATTGCAGCCAGTGGAGGGAGGTGATCCTGCTCCTCTACTCGGCCCTAGGGAGGCACATCTGGAGTGCCATCTCCAATTCTGGGCTCCTCAGCACAAGGAAGATGAGAAGCTGGAGAGGGACCAGTGGAAGCCACAAAGATGATTTTGGGTCTGGGGTGTCTCTCTAACGAGGTGAGACTGAGGGAGCTGGGGATGTTTAGTCTGGACAAGAGAAAACTGAGAGAGGATCTCATCAATACAATCAAGTATCTCAAAAGCAGGTACCAAGAGGATGGTCTCAGACTCTTTTCAGCAGCACCTATGACACCATTGCACAAGGAGCAATGACCATAAACTAAAACACAAGAAGTTCCACCCCACATGAGGAAGAACTGCGTTTTGGTGAGGGTGGCAGAGCACTGGAACAGGCCGCCCAGGGAGGTCATATAATGTCCCCTTCTGCAGCCATTCCAAACCCACCTGGACACATTTCTGTGTAACTTGCTCCAGGTGACCCTGCCTTGGCAGGGGGTTGGACTGGGTGGTCTCCAGAGGCGCTTTCCAACGATAATGATTCTGTTGTTCTTGACCTGCTGGGTGAAAGAAGCCGTTAGGCTTGTGTTGCGTTCTGGGGGCAGATTTGCACGGCATTTTTATGTTATTTCCCAGGGCAGGGCGGTGGCGGGCTGACCCCGCCCCTGGGGCACTCGGTCCCGCACAGACCGCGCCCCCGCGCGCGCCCGGCCGGAAGTGAGCGCAGCCGGAGGAGGGGGCGGGGCCGCGCGCCTCCCCGCGCGCCTCGGCCGCCGCCATTTTGTTGGCGCCGGGCGCTGCCGCCGCGGCGAGAAGGGCTGGGAGTCGCCGCTCGGCTCCGCCCTCGTCGGGGCCGAGGGGCGGGGACTGAGCGCGGCCCGGCCGGGACGGGACGGAGCGGCGGGGCCCAAGGCGGTGCGGCGATGTCGGCGTTCTCGGAGGCGGCGCTGGAGCGGAAGCTGTCGGAGCTGAGCAACTCGCAGCAGAGCGTGCAGACGCTGAGCCTGTGGCTCATCCACCACCGCAAGCACTCGGCGCTCATCGTCAGCGTGTGGGAGCGGGAGCTGCGCAAGGGTGAGCCCGGGGCCGGGCAGGGCCCGCGGGGCCGGGGCAGGAGGAGGCAGGAAAGGGGCGGCCTGGGCCGGGGAGACGGGAGAGGCCTGAGCGCCGGCGAGAGCCGGGCTGCTTGGCCGGCGTTAAACGCCGGGCCTCCGTTTCTCGATGGCCGTGGGCTGGCAGGTGCTTCTCCCTCGTTTTTTATTCTACTCGCTCCTCTCTTTTCCTTCGCGTTTTTCCTTCTCCCTATAATGAGATGTCTCTAAGGAGGCTGCCCCTTGTATTTTATCTCCCCATTTGAAGGAGAAAGGGAAGTGGGAAACCGGAAGGAATCCGGCGAGCCAGAGTTTTTTGTTGTTAGTATTACAGCTCTTTTAAGACAGAGCCTTTTTAGGTATTACTTTTCATCGTCTGTAGTGATGGTTAGCTGTAATACTATTTGAATTCCATGTCTGTTCAGGTTTTTTTTCCAGAAACTGTTCTTGAAGGGCAGATGAAGATGGGAATATACTGAGGGAAGAGCAGTGTAATGTGTCCGAAGTGATTTTTACTTCCTAGTTTTGCCAGATGGTTAATACCAATATTAATATAATAAAAACATGAGTTTCTTTAGCAATGATCAGCGTGCAGACTTAAATGCTAATGTGGTTTTCCCTTTAACAGGAAAGCACTTGCAGGTATAGGCAGTAGTTCAGGGAGTGAAAGGGAGAAATGGCATAGGATGCTTTATTTGACCTGACTGGATAATAACTTCTTGTTAAGTTGGTTCATTTAAGAAAAAGAAAACTCACTTGCTGCAACTCTGCTTCAAACTACGAAATGATGCTGTTTTCCAGTAGCTTCTTTTGGAGCTTCATTAATATGTAGATCTTTAATGGGAAAAATAGAAGTCACAGTCTTTCAGACTGAGCAGAAAAACAGCACTAAGCCATTACAGGACATAAGAGAGAAGAAGGAACCACTGAGTTTTGTGTAATATGGCTACTGCGGTATTGTTTAAAATTTTTTCCTGGGATTTGTTATTTTTATAACTTTGAGGCATGAGTTGAATTATTTTTTGTACTAACTGCAGAAAGACTGACTTGGTGGCAATATTCCATCTTAGGATACAAACACGTTTTCACTGTGTTAGTTGCAGGCTTTCTTTTTTTGTTCCAGGAGCAAATTAATGGATCTTCCACCTGTGTCTGAAACATTTCACATTTCTGGGCCTTCTAATCAAACAACACGAATGTTAGGGGTTTTGAATGATACCAGGAAGGTATCTTAAATGAATTGAAATAGACACAGAGTTTTGTTGCTTGTCTTAATAATCATGCACAGTAGTTCATAGTAATCTGTGATATTAATGGGCAGTCCTTAACTTTAATTTTCCTCTTTTGGTGGTTGACTAACTGGAGAAATGAAATCTTTGAAACCTGGGCTACATGTCTGAAAGTGGCATTAAGAGGCAAGATAACAACCTTCTTTTGAGCTTTTGGTGAGAATAGCTGCCATAATTTGGTTTGTTTTGTTTGTTGAAGTTTTTGTCCGGCTTTTACTGCTTCAAAGTAAGATTTTGCTGTGACCTCTCTTTGGATGCAAACCTTCAAATGTCTGTGGAAAGCACGTGAAACTCTACCTGTGCTAGGAATAGCTTAGTTGCTTTCAAGGTTCTGACCCTTTTGGTCTTTTAGGCCTATGTGAAGTGTTTCGTGTTAGAAAATAGGAAGCTTCATTTGAAGCTCCCATAGTTAATATACACAGTATATATATATATATATATATACAGGATGTATTTTGATTTTCCATCTCTTATAATATCCAAGCTTCATAAATGTTAGCTTGCATTTACCTGATACTAACTTCTGGCTAATTGCTGCACAGGTTTGTAAGATGGTGCCTAATCCCCAAAGGTGGAAGTAGTGATCTAAGCAGACAGGCATGGGAAGCATGAGAGGAAAACTGTCCTGTGGTGAAGCGAGTGCATAAAACACCACAAAGTAGGATATTGGCAATGAGGCCATAACTAGAGTAAGTTTAAGGCTTCTGACTTGCCTGTCATTGAAGCTATAGAAACATGATTTCTCTCCTACCTGAGAAAAAAATTACTGCTATTTGGGGAACATGGATATCAAAATTATTGACATTGTTAGCTGCTATTTTTAGCCAGTAGTGTCCTGGAACTGAAAATTGAACCTTGCCTTTCTAGATTTTATTTCCTTTCATTGTATCCCCTTTTTTATTGTCAGCCCTGTCTCCAGACCTTCCTTCCTTCCAGCCTACTGCTTTTCAGGAACATTGTATAACTAGTTGGGTTGAACACAGTACAATGGTATTATGTTTTTTTCTGGATGCTTTCAGTTTTGGCAAAAGATTCGTGAAAGATGAGCTTGCATGAGCCTTTCTGAACATGTCTCTAGCTATTCATAAAGACCAGTCCTAATGTCAGAGCTCTTTCCTAAATGTTTGGTTCTGATTCTTTTATATATAAAATAATCTTTTTCTTTATGCCATGTTGGAGTAGAGGTGAAAAGATAGCTTTTCAAATCTGCATATAATTTAGACAGCATAAAATGTTAGTGCCTTTCTGTTTACTTGGATTAATTGGCAGTGGTTAGGTCCCATATTCTGGCATTCTTATGGATCATCAGTTCCGTACACCTTCATGTACAGGTTTTCTTGAAAAGTGTGTATCGAGGGAAATGATCGTGCTTCAGCTAAATTGCAGAGGTACGAAATGTAACTCTTAAAGTTAAATAGTTAATTACTCAGTAATCATAAGCTTATTCAGTATTTAAGTAGTTAAGTAATACTAATTAATTAACTTGTGATTACCTCAGTCATTTTAAAGAGACAACTGGTGGGCCATTTAAACCTGTGGTTTTGTGTGTCCATAAAGAGAATTACTTATAGGGTTTCTTTTTAAATTGAGTAGTGGCATAACATACACATTTGTTGTGTAAGCTTGCAGTCATTGAATGGCTGCTGGGAAACTCCTTAGGGAGAAACGCCTTTAATAGGCTGTTCTGAGATGGAGTCTGTTGAGAATGTATTTTTTATTTGCAAGTCAGGTATGTTCTCTTGCATACATCTCTTGCTGCCTGGTTTCAGGACACTCTGTAACTGTACAGGTTTGCTATATGTTCATTTTTTGAAATGGAAAATTTCAGTTTCGCAATTCAAAGTGTCTGTCTTCAAGGGTGAACAGTAACTGCTTGTTCAGTAGGCTCAATGTACAATTTGCTGTACTTGGTTAAAATATGTTCTTTTTCAATGGAAAAAACCCAAAATTGCTAAAAGTTTGTAATATGGGACTTGTTATTTTGTTGTCCATAAGAATCTTTTCCTGTCATCTTATTTTGTGTTAGCTTTTCCAGGTTCAGCTGTGTCACTTAAGGATTTATTTCTTAGTGATATTTTAGTAAGCACAGGATACTCTGAGTTGGAAGGGACCCACGGCTATCGTCATGTTCAAGTCTTAGCCCTGCACAGGACACTATTGTGTTGTATCTTTAAACCTACTTCCCGATTCAGGTATCTATTTCTTCAGGGCCCAACGCAGCATCTCAATGATTAGTCAGTAACAGAAACTGATGGTGATCATCCCCCATCCTCCTTAATCACTTGACCTCTTGTTTAGGCTTTCATCTGTCACCCATGTCGCACTGATCACTGTCTTCCCTGCACAGTTTATCTAGGTCAGTAGAGCCATTGTGTATTGCCCTTAGGAGAGTCACAGTTGTGTAGGTACATCTGGGCTGTTACAGGGAGATGTATTTGTAGTGCTTGACTCTGCCGGTTCACCTGCTGTTCCAGTTTATTACTCTTTTTTGGTTTTGTTTTTTTCTGGGTGTTGAAGTCTTTCACGGTATAAGAAGCTACATGGGGTTTTTTTGATTATGGTTTGTCTACAGCTTCTGCCACTGGGACATAGGCTGATGCTTGGGTCCTCATCCAGTATAGCTGTTCGCATTGATGAAATATGTTTTTCTGAAGCTAGTGGCTGTTGTGGCAGCTGCTTAAATTTGGAAGATAGAGGATTTTAGTAAGTAAATTGAGAAGGCTTTGCAACACTTAAAGCAAATCTGAAAGTTGTACTACATCTGAGCTACTCTAATACTTAGCTGTTTTGGAGCACAACTATAGCCAAAAGTGGTTGCAATACATTGCCTTGCAGATGGGAAGTGGATCACAGGAAACAAGTTCCTGGTTTAAAGCAATTATTTTCTGTAGTTTTTTCTGCCAGGAGAAGGAATCTTTCTTTTCTGGTGATTGTAAGATTATTTTACTTAGTGGTGGTATAGTGTCATTGTCCCATGTGAGAGAATAAATAATTTTGGTTTCTTTTATTTAAGAGAAGAAAAACTGGCTTTTGGATTTCACTGGTTATTATGCCCACATCCTGGTTGAGACATCCATGCCAAAAGGTTTGGAGAGCAACAGACAAGCGAAACTTCAGATGAATGGGTGTTGTTGAGTCTAGTTAGGGAAACTTATTTGCTGCTTACAATGATTTACAAAATAATCTGCAGTTAGGAGCAGCAGAGTAGCAATATGAGAGCCTTCCATTTATAGCAATTATATTTGGGTTGTGTAGTCCAAACATGCATGTCACCTGTACCTGTGTGTCCTTCACCATTCTGGTTCTGAAGTGTAGGGTCTTTTTACTGTCCTGAAGGTGTTGTTGCAGTTGATTCATATCCATCTTGTCATTTTACCAACTAGGTGAGGCAGTGAAAGGAATTGGTTTGTTTCATATGTTCAGGTAATTCAGGATGCACTAAGTGCAGTGGAAAGCTTCTGCAGAGTAATTATGTTGGAATGGTTTCCTTGGTCTGTGACCAGCTTTCTGGCATCCCTGCAGTAATTTGATGCTAAGGGCCTTATTCCCAGCAGTGGCTGTGTGTTGTGTTCCCAAAACCAGTCTCAAACCTTGAGACCCTCAAACCTTGAACACATTCAATGGGCAATCCCATTTCCTTCTTTCAAAAAAAACCCCACTGCAATTATCAAACCTTGGTAATTGCACAAGGTGGAGTGCTTAGTTTAACCTTTTCTTAGTAGAAGGTTAATGAATTTTAAGGTTAAGTGCTTGTTGTTGCAGCATGTTGCAGCATGCCTTTTATGGATTATGTTATCTTTGAATTGTCTTTTCTGATGGCAGTGGCTTTTTAGAGTCATATTACCAAAGATCCTCTGCTTAATCAGCTTGCATAAAAATCCATGTTAGCTCTCTGCAGTGTGAAGTATCAGTGATATTCCACTCAAGTTTCAGTGCTGCTTGACTTAACAATGTTTGGTCTTGTTAGAAAAAGCTTGAAAGCTTGTCAGGTATTTACAGAGAAGTCATGAGCTCCTCTTGCAAAGGTGTGAAGTGTGCTGTAAGAAACTGTCCCAGGGATTTTGGGAGAAGTGGTGTCACTCATAAATTCTCCTGCATGTGTATTGACTAAAGTAATTCAAAAGCAATTTAGCAAAGTCTTTATTTGAATCCATATTAGAGAACATATTGATGCTTATTGTCTCAAATCCTTTGTTCAGTGGTATTTTCTTTCAAGGCCAGTTGACACAGCAGAGCTGGCCTGTAGAAAGCCATGTCCTAATGTAACATTTTCAGATGGCTCAGTCAGTCTATACACTTGTACTGGGAAGTGGGATGCAAGTGAAATCTCTTATGCTTGTGTGTTTTTCTGTAGTTTCTTCTAGTATAGTATATGTCATAGTATGACATATGTCATATCTGTGACAGCAAATATCTCTTGGCTCTAGGTGTAAAACAGCATGAAACTAATGGGCATGTTTCTAGCAATCTTCATGGGAGCTCAATTTGGAATGCAGGAGGTAAACCTGGAGAAGACAAATACAGGTGATTTTGCTGACTTTGATTGCCAAGGCTAACCTCGGTGAAAGTGACTGATTTATTGTCTTTCAGGGTAAAATACTGGTTACTTGCACTAAAGTGGTGGCTTGTCAGTGTTAAGAGTTCTCCAAGTCTTATGGATTAAAGCAAATAATGTCAGGCATTGGTACTGAACTATTAGAGAACCGGGCATCCTGACAGGGCTAACAGGAATACATTCCTGAGAAGAATGGATTGCCAAAAACTAATATAATGTTGTCTCCACTGCAGATATCTCAGTATGCTCATTGTTGGTGAAATATCATTATTATCTGAAGAATATTCATTGGCATTTAAGCATGTCAGAAACATTTTTGGTACAGACATAGTTTCATTTTCAAGGTGCCAATTCCATGTAGTCTCATCAAAGATGCTTTAAGAGTAATATGCATAGTATGGCTCTTATACCAGCCAGCACTGTTGACATATTGAAGTATTTCAGAATCCAGTGCTTCAGGGAGCTACTTTGGTGGCTAAATGGTGAATCTAGCCACAACAAGCAGAGGAGTTACATGAACACTGCACAGCTTCTGAAAAGATGACTCAATCCAACACAGGTGATTTCTTGGCAGTCTTGTGTTTGCAGAGGGTACTGTTGGTACAGAGATGGCTACTTCTAACACTGTACATTCTGGCAGTGTGTGCCTTTCAGATCCTTCTTCAACCTAGGTTCTTACAGGTCTTCTCCCTTCATTTACTTCTAACAGTAAGAAGGCTTTTTCTATTAGCCTTGCCATTTGTTGAGGACCTTCAAAAATTGTCTGTTCCATTTTGATGTTCCGAGGTTTATCAGTGCCCCAGGCTGGAGAATTGGTGTCACTGCTACTGAAGATGCGACTGAAGAGAGATGCTTTAAACATAGTTCTTTCTCAAGAACAGATCTGTTTGATCCTGAATTTAATTTGTGTTTCAGACATCACTAGTTGATATAGTTATACTAGCAGTAGAATGTTTTCAGCTCAGGTGTCGGCCTCAGTTGCCAGAGGTTACATTGCACTTCAGTCTCATGTGTAAGGCAGAGTGCCAGTAGACCAGTATGTAAATCCTGAAGATTTGTGAAGGGAGAGGGAGCACTTCTCATAATTTTTACCCTTGGAATTTTGTGCAGCACATTGTTACAGCAAGAGGAATTAAATTTTACTTCACAATTTTCTTTGTGAATAATAAGGGTAGAACATTAGTTGAGTTTTCAACCAAAGGCAGAGATAGCTTAATGGTGGGTCTAGGATTTTTGTTCATTCTGCGCAGCTTTGTTTGTGTTGAATTGTAGCAGGAGCTGAAAATGTAATACTTGGAGAAAGAAGCCTGAAAGGATGCTTTTACCAAATATGATACATCAATATTTTACTGTATTTAATAGATAAACTCAAGGCTTTGTGAGGGTCAGCATTACCTGACTTCATGTCACTGCATATCCATCTCATGTCTTTGCCAGCCCAATTGATTTGGCTGTTTATTGGAAAGAAGGAAATTATGGTCTCTCACAAATGGGTTTCATGACTGAGGATTAAAAAATGAGATTTTTTTTCCTGGTGAAATGGACAGGCAAAGGCCTGTCCTGCATGCAGTTCCAGAGGATATAGGATGTGGGGGGGGAGGGGGGAACAGCTTGCTTCATTAGATTTTGAGTCCTAATTCTGGGCTTATTTAAGGACTTAGAGAGGGGGCAGGGCCATTATTGGTAAACACTAGTTACTTTTTGATTATGCCTGTGAAACAATGTGTTTTCTGACCTTCTCACTTTGAATAATTCAAAACTTGCTAGGTGTCAGAACTCTGATTTACATAAAACATAAGAGATATGTTGTTTTCTTATCAGTCAGATTTTAATACAGAAATTGAGCAGCACAAATTTATAAAACCTACATTATAGATTAGCCAGATTTTGACCAAAATAGATTAATTTCCTGGCTGCTTGCATGTAGTGACTTCACTGTCTGGAGCAGACTCTTAATAGAGTACACCTTGTGTCCAGCGCTTCCTGGCTAATTTGTTTTTGTTTCCTACTCTTTAGTTTATCTTGACTGTAAGCAAAGTGCATTTTTACATTTAAGAGGGTGTTTTTTCCGCAGTCAATCCAGAACTCACAACTTGTTAGATATGTTTGTTCAAGAGACTGGAAAGAATTCAGTATTTCAAGGAGAAATCCTTCAGAGAAGTCTTTCATTTCTGTAGTGCAAAATTTATTCTCAAAAACATTTCCCTAGAGTGAAAGCATATTAACATTGACTTTTCTCTTTATATGTGAGGGTGGTAGTTATGCATTTTTGAGAGGATGGAGTAGAAAGCAACAAAATCAAATCATATTTGCTTGTGCAAATCATAAGAAATCCTGGATTGTTGTTACCACAGTGCTGCTTTCCTTGAAAGAGCAGAAAAAACTTGTCTTTCAGGAGAAACCTCTTTTTAAAATCAGAGTGTACATATTGAGATTATGTGGTGGTAATGGTATTCTGGTGTTAACCAAGGATAGATATGTTACAATAAGAGTTTCAGCTCCAAGAAACTTACAGACTAATGAAGGTTAAATGAAGTGTAAGTGAAAATACCCAGGTAGGAGCATGTAGAAAACATGGAACAGATTTTGGGAAGTGATTTGTAAATTGGGAACGTGTAGTCTTTTGCACATTAAGAGAGGTGGTACAAGACGTTTAAGGTGCTTGGAGAAGAGATACACCACGTGAGCTTGAAAGTGGTTTTTGAAAACACTTTTGTGCTATTAACAGCTGCTGACATGAGTGTTTTAACAATTTGGAGGTGAGGGAGTGTCACAGTGATACAAAGACACTGACTAGGGATTGACTGTTCAGTTTACTTAAATGTGATAATGAGGAGTGGTTATGTAAGACTGAATGAAATTCAGACTGAAAAGGGGGAGGTTGTTCACATGAATGATTGTGGATCTGTGAAGTGCCTCAGCAGAAGACTTCATGAGTGTAAGAAATTTGAGCAGGCTTGGAAGTACTTGGAAGAAATCCATGAAGGCCGCCAAACAGGAATCATAAAAGGCTCAGGAAAATGCCTGAAAATAGTTTGGGGATGAAGAGCACTTCGGAATATCTGGGGATTTTTTCTGTTGGTTTTTTGAGATAGCATTAATGAAAGCTGTGTCATACTGTGAAGGAAGAAGAACTTGAACAAAGAGCAGAAGGGAGAGAAAACCCAATGAGTAAATAAAGTCTTTCACATGAAAATACTTGAAATGTGAAATGGTGTAAGCAGTAATGAAAATGGGAAAACCACACTTTATTTCAGGGTGTGGGTGTTTGTATTCAGTATGAACCTAGATATATAGGTATTAGTTGAAGGAAATAGAATTTCTAATTATTTATTGTTCTTCTTTTTATTAGCAAAACCAAATAGGAAGCTGACATTCCTGTACTTGGCCAATGATGTCATACAGAACAGCAAAAGGAAAGGACCAGAATTTACAAAAGACTTTGCTCCAGTAATAGTGGAGGCTTTTAAGCATGTTTCAAGGTACAGTAAACTTGTATGTGCAGTGTCCTTCACACTGCATTTGAGGGGCATTTCAGTTGATGTCTTTTGGCCCAATTAGTCTTCATGTGCTATTTCTGTACTTGAAATCTTGTTTCATTTATTCATTGTTCTTGTGATCTTTAATAGTCTTACTGCTGTTGTAGTAAATTCATCAGCATTCATTCCCTTTTTGCCTTGGAAGGCTGTTAGCTCTTCCTGAATGTAAGACTTGCTTACTGTCTGTGTTTATGTGGTACAACAGTTTAACATTTTTCATTACTGGGTGTTGCATGATTTGTTTTTCCCCAGCAGCCTCTAATACCATTGCATGAGGAAACTAGAGTCTTGATACAGGATTATTTTCACAACGATACACAGCTGTTGAAGCAGCATAAAACTATTTTTAGTGTTTGCAGATTTATGGGTTGAAAAAAAAAAAACCAGGGTTTGGTTTTTGCCCTTTTTTTTTTGTCATCTGCTTGCTAGAGCACATTGAGCTGGTTTTTGCTTTCTTTAAAATGTGAATTAGTTATTTTCTGAGATTATTTCACTTCTGATGCTTGGATATTGCTAAAATCTGTGAAGCTGTTTTTGTGAAAAATAATTATGAAGCAGTGCTATACTTTTACCTAGTGCTGATATTTGCTTTTTTCCCTTGTAACAGTGAGTCTGATGAGAGTTGTAAGAAACACCTTGGCCGAGTGCTGTCTATCTGGGAAGAAAGGTCTGTTTATGAAAACGATGTATTAGAACAACTTAGGCAAGCTTTGTGTGAGTATTCTGTGAGTGTGTGATGGTTCAGTCTCCTGTTTGAAATAGCACTTCCCTGACTGCTGTGTTTGTTTTGATTTAGATGGAGACAGAAAGGTGAGGAAGCGCACCTATGAACAGATCAAAGTTGATGAAAATAACTGTTCACCTCGAAGTTCTCCCACTGATCCTCCTCAGGTAAAAGCATGTTTATAAAATTATCTATTTACATATGGTTTAATATAGAATTTTTCTGTTACTCTTTTTTTTTTGAATAGTTTCTGTTTTTCAGTAAATTACTGTTTCTGGGGAAGGGTGGCTACACATAAAACTTTTTATAATTAGTTTTTATAAAGTTTTTATAAATAACTTTCTTTTAATATTTTTTCAGTGGGGTATGCTGTAACTATGTATTTTATACTAAACCCAAATGTTTGAACTGTATGTCCAGCTTTATTCATATCAGGATTTCAGCAGTACTTTCTACAATGTATTTAGTTCTTATTCAGTTTTCAGGGTAGTAGGAACACTACTAGAGTGTAAGATTGTTATGAATTTATCGATAAAATATTTCCCAAAGTTTCACTCACAATGGTTGTGAAAAATTCTTGTCTACCTTTCACTGTTACAGCTCTTTCTTGTGGGGTTTTGTTGCGGTATTGCCCTGTCTCAAAAGGATTTTTGTTATAGCAAAGAACTACTGTCCTCAAGTCATCACAATTGAGTATGTTTCTCTGTAGCAGCTATTTGGGCTTCTGTGAATATCAGCCCTACTTCCAGAAGTGCAGTCTTTTGCAATAGTGAAGCAAAACAGCAAGAAAAGTAATTTTAAAAAATGTATAAAAAAATGAAACGTACTGTAAAATAATCACTACTGTCAAGAAGAAAAGGTTTATAAGTATTCCTATACCACGAATTTAAATGAAAAAGCTCTTGTAGAAAGGTGACCTTAAAACTAGAAACACTGCAATGTTGTGCTGAGATTAAAGATTCGGTTTTGTTTTGACTCTAGAGGTGATACTGTAAATGCTGCTAAAATTACCATCAAATCAATACTGTAAATTTGTTGTAAAATACTTTTGTTTTGTTCTAGGATCTATTTATTTAAACTAGTTCTCAATCTTGCATGCTTTTTTCAGACCACAGATCTCATTAGAGCATTACAAGAACTAGAAAATGCTGCCTCTGGGGATGCAGCAGTTCACCAGAGAATAGCTTCCTTGCCTCTAGAGGTCCAGGATGTGTCCCTGTTAGACAGAATAACAGGTGAGGGTTGGGAGCTTGGTAACCGAAATGCTCTTCTAAGAACATAATGGTACGTAATGGAATCACGCTTTCTCTGTTTTTCTCTGCTTGCTTTTTAGATAAAGAATCTGGAGAGCAACTTTCCAAAATGGTAGATGATGCATGTATGTTGCTGGCGGATTACAATGGCAGGTTGGCAGCTGAAATAGATGATAGAAAACAGCTAACTCGAATGTTATCAGACTTTCTCCGATGTCAAAAAGAGTTCCTTGCAGAGAAAGAACATAAGCTGGAAGTGCGTAATGTTTTGTTTTAGTCTCTTCTTCACTAAAGCTTGTTCTTGCAAATGTTTTTAGTTAGCCTGAACAACTTTTCTCTCCAAAGAGAAATATTTTTTTGCCACTGTTATGTCTTTACTTCCAGCACATTAGTAACACATTATTTGATTCTAGCGTTCGAAACCTACTAAACCAGCTCTTTCTGCTTTTTTTAGCTATTCTATCTTGATTATACCTACAGACTTAGTTTTAGTAGTGCAGATAGAAAGTCTTATCCCTGGTGTTACAAGCTTAATTATCCAGTGTCATTTTCTTTCCATGCTCTTTTCATTCATTGTTGTCTTAGTTACGTATTTGCTAAAGGATAGTAATTTAATTCCAGGTTTCAGCACCAATTTTTAACCTGACTCAAGCATCCATTGAACCTAGGGAAATGTATTTATAGCTTCTACAGCCTCTAACACAGCTGGTTATCAGTACAAACACCAGCACGACCAGAGAGATTGTAATAAAAGAAGGATACAGGTTGAACAGCTCATTATTGGCAAATGATCCCTTAAGTTATTCTGTTCCTTGCTGTTAGCAGTCATCTGGTTTTCTTTCCTATCATATACTACTGTAAAGTCTCCTGTTGACCATTCCACATACATGGAATATGTACATAATTACACGTCAATTGCTTCCCACTGCTAACTTGAGTATTACAATAATGGAATTGAAGCTGCATCGTTTTGCAAGGGGAGATGTCTGAACAATCACGATACCCTGTAACTGCAGCATATGCACATATGGTCCCAAAATCAATTATTCTCCAGGTTTTGTCATATATGCCTGTCAAGAACACTTTCTTTCCCTAGTGGTTTCTTTACCTTTAGCTTCATAACTTGGATTCAGATTTTGTTGTGCTTTGTTTCTGGAAAATGCTGTTCTTAATGTATTTGAAGTCATCACTCAGATCAGTTGTGTCATTCCTAGCTACTTTTATTTCCTGACTTACTTTCCTCTATGCCTCACAGAAAAGCAGTTGATGAAGGTTCTTCCTATCAACCTTACTGTGTTTGTCCTGTGGGAGGAATATCAACCAGCTTCATGTAAGATAGATGGCATGCATGGTAGTGCTGATTTCAGTTGCAGCTGATCCAACTGCGTAATGGAACCTGGAAGATTAAAGAACAGGAAGCCTTAAGCTTTTCATCACATGCCCTACCTGCCTGCTGCCTGTGTAATGGGTTTGAAGGACAAGTTTGCACAGTTTCATTGAAAGGCTGGTTGTCTAGAGGCACTGACTTATTTATGTAGCTCATTACCAGCAGGTGTATCCTGTGTAGTTATGGTAGACTGCCAGGATAGTGAGTTACTCAAAAGGCAGTGACTTAGTCCTTCAGACAGATTTACCGTTCTGTAAAATAAGAGAGCTCAGTTTAAAAGAAATTAAAAATAGTAGCACAGGTGTGAACAGATTCCATCCTTGTTGGTTGTTTTCAATAAATACAAACCAGTGTAATTTCCCAATATTACTAGATCAGATAATTCCTAATTCTGAGAGAAGGCAATTACATATTATTGGGCTGTTATGGTCCTTCACGTGTTTTCTTGGCTGAATTATTTAAACTGATAAAGAATTTAATTCTAATATAGCATAGTTTCATTTTCAGACTAGTTGGAGGTCTTTCTTTAAAAAGTAGGAGACAGTCTTCAGTGTTAGCAGCCTGTTTTAAACAGGTGAAGTCCTAGGATGTTGAAGTACACTGTTCAACTAAGAATGTTTTTAGGCTGATTAGTGTGACATAAATATGATTTCCTAATACAGAACTATGAGCCAGGATGGTGTTAACCCACTTACTAATAAAGGCCTTAGAGACAAGAGATTTCAAAAAACAAGAACCTTAAAATTAAGTTTCCAAACTAGTGTTGAGTAAAGTAACTTCATGCTCAATATCAGTAGTGCTTTTTTGTTTGGGAAGTAAAGGCCGATAAACATTCTGAAGTTTTGAAATGTAAGATTAGGATGTCTTAGTGATGTTGTCTATAGGGCTTGCTGTCTTAGCACATTTAGGATTTATTTTGGTGAGTAAGAAATGTAGATGAAGCAAGGACTCCCTGTTTTTGGAGATTGGGAAATTCCATGGCTCAAATTGCACATTGCTTATAGACTTCTCATTTGAAATAGCACTGGGAGAGGGCCTGTCACAGAATTCTTTGAGCATGTATTTCCCTGAACTGTCTGTCCCTAGGTTTTGCTGTTCAAGTTTCATTTTTGGTGAAACTAATTTGTTCCAGACAAGCTTGTTTCTTGTGTTAGACTTCTGGCTATTGATACTTTACCGAGTATAACATGATCTCTCAGTTGTTAACAGAAAGTTTTTATTTCTTCCTGAATTACTATCACCAATTTGTGAATATAATGCTGAGATCCTATTTTACTGATTCCTTAGTGTACCAAGCAGGTAAAGGAAGGAGCAAGTGGATGTTTTCTTAGGTGTATCTAGAAATGTTAGCTGCTGTTAACCTTTTTAACAATTTGAATTGGAATTCCCAAAGAATTTTCAGTAGCTTCCAGCATTACATAGAAGCTTTAGACCTAAATTTTCAGATCTTTTATCTTCCAAAGATAATTTACAGGTAAGTAATTTTGCTTAACCAGTCTTTCCATCTTTCTTAACTTTTTAAGAATAAGCGTCTAGTAGTTTTTTTCTGAAACAGAAGTGCATGATTCCCATCAAAGCAAGGTAATGTATGTGCTAAATCTTGACAGGAAATTTTAATAACAGGTAAATAATGTCATATGTGCATCAAAAGCTAACTGTACTGCTTGGTAGGTGACTTTCCTAAATATGTTTGGGGTAAGTAGTGTCATCTTTAACTCTTAAATTGTTTTCTTTAATATCTGTCTAGCTTCTGTTGCAGGTGGTGGACATGGACCTATCTTCTAATGATGTCACCATCCATTAGTAAACATATCCTGCTAAAAATAAATTTAAGAATCAAAATCTTGTATTGTCTGTTGTTTTTGAAAACTTAAAGAGGAAGAATTCTATAACTACTCATACCAAACCTCTGTTATTTTCATCTGTATTCTCACAAGCATTACTGAGTTTATGCCTGAGATGGATAAGTATTTATCCAGTGTCATTTCTTTTTCCTGAAGACTCAAACTTTCACATGGTTGTTCCTAAAACTTGCACATTCTTTCAGTGAAATAAATCAAAATTCCCAGTGCAGAAGTTTGGGGGTTGCTTGCATTGAAGTTGCCATTTCCAAAAGGAGAAAGTTATGAAAACAAGACTTTATCCAGCTTTTTGCTTTTTAACTTACACTGTTTACATGATCAGAAATGAGAAGTGATGGATGTAAGACTTCTCCTTCACAAGCACAGTAGAAAAACTCTCACTTTGTTAGGTAACCGAGATGTGCTTTATAATTTCACTTAGGCCCCTTTAGACTCCCCGCCCCGCCCCCGAAATTTAGGATTGTGCTGAGGAAGTCTGTTCCCTTCATTGTTGGTAGTTTTAAAACAGCATAAATATTTAAGGTTCAGTGTACTGTGGCTCCAGCTAGGATTTCTAGCTAGATAGGATTCTGTCTATTAGAGAAAATGAAAAATTTTGCAGAAATATTTTTTCTGAAGCCTTTGATGGCTAATACCATTCTCGTTTTCTACTACTTTTGTTGACTTTCCCCCTCTTTTCTTCTGTGTTGTATCTCCCTCCTATCTCCCTGCCCATCCCCTAGTTTTTGGACAAAAATACTGGTTGGTCTCTTGGTATTACTGAAGGATAAAATGAGATTTTTATGTTACACAGTTATGTTATACCAAGGAATTTGGTACATAAATTGATACCCAGATGGCTCGTGTTCTTTTGATAAGACTGTCCTGTTATTCTAGAATTAATATGGCCTTAAAAATTACATGAACAAGAGAAGTACTTGATTTATTGTTCTCTCATGTTTCTTTATGTTTACCTCTCCCTCCCACAGTCTCCTGGGTTGTAGAGTGATTAGTCTCTTACTAAATTTCAAATAAAATGTTTGATAGTTGGACATTTCATGTGACTCGTGAACAGGTGTGAGTAGGCGATCACTAGACACCATCTCACCTTCATTTTGACCTTATGGAAAGATGTAGTATTGCTACGCGTAGCATATGGTGGATATACAGTTTCTTGCATACTTCTTTGATAGTTTACCACTTTAAATTTGGGACTGTTGTGTCTAGATTCAAAGTTTTGTGAGGAAAGTGCTACTCTGCTAAATGGAAGCCTGCTCTCATTTAGCAGCTTGCATCTAATTAAAAAACATAATGGTACTGTCTTGCATTTCTGATTTTCTACAGCTCTGTAAGCAGTGTTGATAGTCTTACACTCACACATCTGGTTTTAATTGTGGTTTCTTAGCATGTTGAGAGAATATTATATGTTCAATGCGCATTTATTTCATGATTGAGCTTTTATGACTCCACATAGCTTGACTTGTCTTCCTAAAGGTTTTAGTTTTGTCTTGGAATTTTACAGATAAACAGCAAGCAGTTAGTCAGCCTTGACTTTAGCTTTGGATTTGACTTTTTTTTTTTTTTTCTTCCCTGCTTAGTTCATATTTAATGATTTCAAATGTAGACAAAAATACTAAGCAAACAGTTTAGGGCTGGCAGTGGTATAACAGGCCTCTTATCCTTAAGCTTTGTTTTGCAATACTGAACTGGGTTAGTACTATTGTCTACTGTTGCCCTTCATCATAGCCTTCACATTAGGAAGGGGAAGGGTATAGTGCTTTCCTTGTTTGCTTTCTTTTTTTTCTTTAAACTTCTTATTCATCCTTAGTATTTTAGTATGTCAGCTTTTTTTGCTCAGTGACAGAGTACTTATAGTAATATATTCCATTATGCTTCATATTTTTCAAGTCCACTTCTGGTAATTTGGATTAATTTCTTCATATCCTTGCAGCTGCGTACCTAAACTACTTTACTGAGCTTTGGTTGAAGATTGATTTGTAGGATGAGCCCTACATTGCCTTTTGTTAT